TTGAAGCTTTCCACTAGTAAATCGAACAGGAGTTCAGTAGGCCTTGCTTGTTCTGGTTGGCACAATGTGGGCCATAACTGGTTTGCATGCCATGGCCAGATCTGTGCGCCCACCATCACGTCATACATGACGTTTCCGCGCTTGCTTTTGACCGTCCGTGGCGTCCATTTCGCATGGCCTTCCCGGTATTCACGTACTAGCACCTTCTGTCCAAGCGTAAAAGATCGCTTCTTTGCTCCATGCCGCCGGTTATAATCCTGTTCCATTCTGCGGTTTTTTTCATCAACAGAGGACTCCCAGCGCGGTCGGATGGCGTCGAAAGGCATGAGGAGCTTCCGGTTCATCATGGCCTGTGCTGGAGAAACCGTCCAGCGCTTGTGGATTCGATGTTTATCTAGTGGAAAAGGAACCGGTCAACCACCTCCTATACGTCCCTCCCCTTTTGATTTGTGGAGAGCTCGCTTGAATGTATCAACCAACCTTTCTGCCTGGCCATTCGACTGTGGGTGAAACGGCGGCGAGCGAACGTGCTGTACGGCGCATTCCTTGCAAAACTCCGTAAATGTTGCTGAAGTAAATTGTGAGTCATTGTCAATGACAATTGTCGTACGACAGTCGAACCTGCTAAAGGTTTGGCGCAGTTTCGATATGGTGGCATTGGTGGTTGTGTTATTCATAAGAAATACTTCAGGCCACTTACTGTATGAGTCGACTATAATGAGGAAACTTCGGTCGTTGATCGGTCCCGCATAGTCGACATGGATGCGGCACCATGGCTTAGTAACTTTTGGTCATGAATAAAGTTCTGATTTTTGTGGCGCTTTCAAGACATTGGCACACTTTTGGCAGCGTTTAGCTATTTCTTCTAGCAGTTTCTCCATAAAGGGCCAGTATACATAACCGCGGGCAAGCGCCTTCATCCGGTTGTTTCCAGGATGCCTGGCTTGAAACTGCCGAATAAGGCGGTCCTGAAGTGTCTTGGGGATGACCACTCTTTCCGAAAATAGTATGCAGTCGTTTACAATCGAGAGCGAGTGTCTCCTCTGAAAGTACTGTTGCAACTCGGCAGATGGACATGAACGTGGCCAGCTTGTTTTGTGGAACTACGTAACCTTCTTGAGTATTGGGTCCCGAAGCGTTTCGGTTCGTACAGGTTCTGCCGTAAATGGTAGACCGTGCAATGCATCAGTTACCAGAAACTTGACATCAGATTCAATCTCGACCGAGTCAATGATTGTGTCCTCATGTTCTTGCTGGCGGGCATCAATTAGGCGTGACAGTGCATCTGCTTGGCCATTGGAAACTGTCGACTAGTATTGGATTTCGAAATCATACCCCATTAAGGTAAGAGCCCAACGTTGTAGCCGGTTGGCTGTATAGGCCGGGATGCCCTTTTTCGAACCAAAGCTAGCCAGCAAGGGCTTGTGATCTGTCAGAAGCTTGAAGCGACGGCCGTATAACATTTTGTGGAATTTCTTGACCGCGTACACTATGGCCAATGCTTCTTTCTCAATCTGGCTGTAATTCTTCTCGGCCTTCGTAAGTGTTCTTGCGGCATGGGCGATTGCTTTCTGAGATTCATCGGTGTATGTGTGTGCAGTTACTGCACCAATCCCATGGCTTGATGCATCTGTGGTTAGGACAGTCTCTTTAGATGGATCAAAATGAGTCAAAAGCAAGTTTGAGGACAGCAGTGACTTGACGCGTTCGAAGGCATTCTGGCATTCTGATGTCCAGTTCCATGTTTGGCCTTTGGCTAGTAGTTTGTTTAACTGGGCACTCAGGCGGTGCATCGCAGGCAAGAATGCGCTGTAGTGGCTGATGAGCCCACAAAATGAACGCAATTACTGTAGATCTGTTGGTGGAGGCATTTTTCTAATGGCTTCTATGTTTTCCGGATCTGGTCGGCGTCCTTCCTTTTTGTGGATAAAACCGAGGTATTTGATGAGCGGCGTGAAAAATGTGCATTTATCTTCATGGATCCGGAAACCGTACGACTGTATACAGCCAAGCGCTTCATCCAGGCGGTTAAATAGTTCTTCTGGTATTCAACCCATCACTATAATATCAGCTAGATATGCAGCGGTTCCAGAAACGCCCGCTAGCGTGGTATCCATCAACTGTTGGAAGATGGCTGGCGCCGTTTTCATACCAAAGGGCAAGCGGTTGTATTGGAATAGCGCACGATGAGTGTTGATCGTCAACAACAACTCCCTCGAGACTTCGCCAACATCCACTTGAAGGTAAACATCGGATAGATCAAGCTTAGCAAAGTACTTACCACCACTCAGCTTTGCAAAGATATCTTCCGGTACAGGTAATGGGTACTGGTGGTCGTCCAGCGCGGCGCTGAGGCCAGTTGAGAAGTCAGCGCAGACGCGTACCTTGTCATTTGCTTTCTTCACTGTGACAATAGGTGCTGCCCATGATGAGTAGTTGACGGCTGTGATGACTCCGGCATGTTCCAGTCGATCGATTTCTTGATCAACGGTTGACATGGCTGCATATGGTACCGCTTTTAGCCTTGAACACTGGTTTAGCACCTGGTCGCAAGTTCAGTGTTGCTTTGAATTTCGTACAATGGCCCAAGCCATCCTGAAAGACAGAAGCAAATTTTCGCTTCAGGGTACGTGCCATGTCTTCGACGAACTTTGATGATGGGTCTGGACTTGCTCGAACTTGGTTGCAGATCTCATTCAAGGGAACATCGAGGAGTTACAACTTTTCAATCCAGTCGAGGCCAAGAAGATTCAAATTCAAATTCAGGTCATGTATGACGTGATGGTGAGCGCACAGATCTGGCCACGGCATGCAAACCAGTTACGGCCCACATTGTGCTAACCAGAACAAGCAAGGCCTACTGAATTCCCGTTCGATTCCTGTTTGACAATTTTCAGCCATTGATAGCGAATACTAAACAAGGATACCGACTCACCAAAAATTTCCTTCAGCTGCGACACTACTTTGTCAAAAATCAGATCCTTCGGCTGTTTGGGCAAAATGTGGTCTATGAACCTTGAATGTTCACTTATTCCGAGCTTTCAGAGTAGCAATCGCACCTTCCAGGAGTCGTCCTGACGAATGAAGTCCGTCCGGAACATATCTTCCTAGCGCTTGAACCACGCTTCGAAGGTGCATCCAGAATCCGCGTCATAACTGAATTCAGTGATCGCGTTCGTGAGAAGATCAACAGAACTCGCATGTATGTCCCGCGTCGCTGCTCCTGTGGTCTGCAAACTCAAGCATTGTGTCAGATTTTCGATCATTTTCATTCGTGCCTCCATTTGAGCTTGCTCTTAGAGAAGCAGCTTTTGAAATTGTTCAGCAGAAAAATGCATCACATTTCCACTTTTCTCCGTCGCCATTTGTTATAATCTTCTCACTAGACGCAATTACAAAAATGACCATTTACTGCTCCACAAAACTTCTAGCCCAACCGAAGGAAAAAGCAAAATGCCGATGATCTTGACAAAATAACGTATTAGTCGCCGCCAACGAACACTGTACAGCTACTGCGGACCTTGACTGTATTTATAGGTCTTTTACTGACCGACTTCTAGCATTGGCAGGTCAGCTACCAAGGTTAGTGGTTCCACATATCTTTTACCGAGGTGTCAGGTGGTCTTTAATCACGTGCAGAACTAGAGCATTCCGGAACGTTCGGAATCGATGCGATAATCGTTAATAATCGACTACTCGCTAAACTAGTGGATTTCCAAGGCAGTTCTTACTTTCTCCCGGACCCTCCTTCCTATTTATCTTCTCCAATAGCGATCTCACTGCATGGATAGAATGACACAACGCTATATTACTAACTTTTTAGCCCTTGTATTTTGTAATGTTTGGTATCTCTTTCTCCATACATTTTACCTATTGTAACGCGGCACAGTTAGCTGAAGTGTTTCTCACCTTCTGCTGATGTGTAATGGAGATGGTGATTATTATTTAGTGATTCTCCATCTACTTGGGTCAAACGATCATTATGTGCTGTCTTTTGTTTGACATGACGAGCCACCATCCACCACCGGGGTGTACCGCGCCTTAGCTTCTTGCGCGCTGATCCATTCAGCTTACTAATGGCCGCAAGAGCTATGGACTGAAGCACTCCCCAGAATTTGAACATTGATACTGCTTGGAACCTCCTGCACTCGAAACGGATGTCTCTTAACGACGAAGTCGTCCCATCCTTTACCTGCATACCCTTTTCCGAATTCCACCTTGGGTTCATAGGGAACTGCGATCTCTGCTGCATAGAAAGGGAAAACTCTGGGATAGATTCAACGTTTCACGGTCGGCATCTGACCATTGCGATTACAAAAGGATAATAAACTTGTGTACACTGCGAGAAGTGGGAGTAATATGAGCGTTGCTTGCTAGAGAATTCCCGGGGTAGACGGAGAAAAAGTACAAGGGTGGTTCGTGGCATTCCTGCTACACGTTATGATGACAAGGTGAAAGCTTTCCTTCCATTTTCGCAGTATTCCAGTGTAGTCCGTTGAGGTTACACTAATCAGCAACTATGTACCCACACACCCCACTCCCTTCTAGCACATCGGAGATACTACGGACATGGTGTTGTGAATTCTTTGCGAGTTGGACCCGGACACCTCTTCAGCTCCTGACGATTTGTACCTGTTGTTCCTCAAAACATTGGCTGAGTATTTCACCGACCCAATCTGTCGATCATTTCGGCACTCCCTCGAGGCTGGTCGCCTCCCCCTTGGTTGTAAAGTAAGTATGGAGAAGAATGTCCACAAAGTAGGAAACTGACAGTATCTGGGGAGCTACCGGTTATTTACAAGACCATAGAATGGACTTCTACATGGCTTCATCGAGGGTCACCATCAATTCAGATTCGGCTCGACGCCTTCGTTAGCTGTGACAATGGAATCCAGCTCGTTACGAGGTTTTAGCCAGGCACACCTTACATTCATTGTGGTTTTTTACGAGGTGCTTGTAATAAATTCATCCTACCGTCTACCAAATTATTTTATATTACAGCCCTTAGCTCTGTTAAGACTTACGTACGCATTGGACACGGAAGCACCTCGGAACTCTGGATTTGGCACACCTTACGCTCACTGATGTTCGGCGGCGGTGGTGGTCAAGAGAAATTACAGAATGCTCTTTTCCAATTACGTGTACGTCTCATACTTGTATATTTGGCCTTCAGTATTCTTCAAAACAATTCTCACGTCTTTCAGCAAAAAGTGAGAAGGAATCAGCCCAACAAGTGTCGAGAGTTAAAAAGGTTTTTTGTTGAATTGTGCCTTTTCTACTCGCACATAACTAAGGCATTACTTGATAAGAATAACGACGTTGCTAAAGTTTATGCAGAAAACGCCATAAGAAAACATAATGAATCCGTTAATTATCTGCGGTTAGCATCCCGATTGGATGCTGTTCAAAGCCGAATACAGAGCGCGATACAGATGAATCAGGCAAGTTTGCTATAAAAATAATTCGTGGCTATCGTTTCAGGCGGTAAAGAATATTGGAAGTGTTTCAAAGGAATTGGAGAAGGCAATGAAATCGATGAATCTCGAACAAATAGAAAAGATAATGGGCAAATTCGAATCCCAGTTTGAAGATCTTGATGTGCGTTCCTTCACTATGGAAAATTCCATGGGTAACGCTGTCACATTGTCTGCACCAGAGGATCAAGTAAACAGTCTACTTCAGAAAGTGAGGGCTTTTAACCGCTTTGTCTTATTCCTATGCTTGTCTTTCTGGGCCCATTTTATTTGTGAGCTTCCTTCAACCAGTGTCTAGTAACTCTATTTTTTGTCATTGACTTTCCAGTCGTCTGTGGTGAACTTACTCCAATGCGATAGTGTCGTAACCAAACGTTTACATGCTTTACTGCTACTCATCAACAGATACCACTCCTTCAGTGACGCTTCCCGTTGAATGAACACATTGGTCAATAAGACTTAGCAACATTGCCATATATCTGCTACCATAATGTTATCGTATGCAATCACGTCGATTTGCCAGTTCCGTGGCACCACTGTCTGCACCCCCATTTGGCACATTCACGTACTGCGGATGGCACAGTCATGGCTACCACATTTTAAAACTCGGCAATGTACTGCCTTTTAACCAGTTGACCGGTTAATTCAGTTTCTTCATCGGAGGTACGAAACGTTATCACAGTTCACAACCGCGAACTTGCCGATCTCCAAAACCCAACTGCTTGACTCAAAACAGAAGTCGAAAGAGGTCGAAACAGAACACCTTTGCGAGAAGACAAAACCAGTTACATGAGATACGATTTCATGGGTTGATAAACTCCTTCCACCAAATGGTTTTGAAACCGTCAATGTGTCAAAATGCCTTTGGTTGAGTCAAGGTCACGACCATAAGAAAAACGATTCATCTTCGGGCCGGAATGCTGAATGTTGTATCCGACCGATCTCATTAGGGTCTGCGTCCCTAACACCCCCCTTTTGAATGAGGCGCATAGGTTTTCACCTTCGGATTCACTTATATTGGAATTACTGAATTCCGGCGTCGATCGATCCATCTTCTTGGTGCTAACTGCGGTATAGATTTAGGAAGTGGAGTCTTCCGTTCAGCTTTGAAGTCTTCTGGGCTAATGCGGCACGTGTCGAGGAGCATGTCTAATGGCAACATGCTGTGCTTTGACGGCGCATCCGGGAAGGACCGGAATTGTAACTGGTTGGAGTGTCGGATCCGAACCTCAGAATTAAGAGCAACGTCATACGTGACACCTCCATTGCGACAAATGATACGTCCTGGAGTCCAGGTAACCTGGTTGTTGCGATAGTCCTTTGCTAGCACATGTAGCATTTTGAAGAAAACTCGCTTCAGTGCACCGTGTCTCCTGTTGAACTGCTGTTCCATTTTGCAGTTTCGGTTTAGGCTGTTCATGGTTTAGGTAAAGTGTGGCTGGATCACAGTTTCCGTGACAGCGGTGCTTTAGCGGGAGATTTACCTTGAGGCACTTGCGGGTTTTGAGTTATCCTGTAGGCCAAAAGAAAAGTCTCAAGGTTCTCAGCCCTTTATCCTTCCCCCTTCGTCTTCAGGTAATGATCTCTAGAAGGTGTCCACGAATCGCTCTGCTAAGCCTTTGGTCCGTAGATGCTATGGTTGTGATCTCATGTGGGTTATGCCGTTTTCGTTGCAGAAGTTCTCGAAAATCGCCGAAGTGAAATGAGTTCCGTTGTCAGTCACTATTTGTCTGGACACCGAAAGCGACTGAAAACTTACTGAAACGCACTAATGTTCGCCGAAGCAGTAGTCGATGGCATCTGAAGTGCCTCTGACCCCTTACTATAGGCGTCAACCAGGATAAGGAAATTGTTTCCATTAATAGGTCCCGAATAACCGGCATGGAGACTTGACCATGGTTTCCCAGGATCCCTACCAACGATGGAGCTCTACTTTCCTTGGTGACTTCGAAGCAAGTGCACTTTTGGAGGAAGATCGGGCAACTTCCCCGACTTTAGCATCAAGATGAGGCAAGTACACGTATATTCTGGCCAATGCCTTCATACGGTTCATTCTTGGGTGTCCGGTGTGGAGCTGTTTCAGTACCCTCGGTTGAGGTTCCTTGGTAACCACCACACTTTCTGCAAAGAGTAGACAGCCGTCGACAATTAACAGTGAATTGCGACATTGATGAAACTGCTACAATTCATTGTCTTTAATCTATGGCCATTTTGGTGTGTAGAAACGGGATAATTGCCAGAGCAGAGAATCATGTGAAGTTGCGACACGAATCTGAAAATCTGTTACTGGGATGGCTTTAACTGCACCTGCGACGGCGCAACGAACTTCAGGCTTGATCGAGATGCTGACCACAACGACGTCATCTGGGTCCTGTAGATCTTTGTCCATGAGGCATGATAAAACATCGGCCTGACTAAAGTTCCCAGTCGATTGGTACTTTATCTCGAAATCCTATTTCAAAAATATTGTGGCATACCTCTGAAAGTGAATTGCTACGTATATGGGACTGCCCTTCTTGCAACCGAAGGTAGCAAGTAGGGCCTTGTGATCCGTGACCAGACTAAAGTGGTGGTTGTGAAATTTTTAAATGGCGTAGGTGATCGTCAATGCTTCTTTTTTAATTTGGCTCTGGTTGCTTTCTGCGGGCGTTAACGATCGGGTGGCATAAGCAATTGCCTTATCAGTTCCGCCGACTCCGTAATTAGACGCATCTGTAACAATAATAATATCCAAGTTCGGATCGTAATGGGTCAACAGCAACTCTGACGATAGCATAGCTTTGATCCTATCAAAACTTGGTTACGTTCCATGCTCCAACACCATTTGGAATCCTTGAGAAGTAGTGCATTCAGGGAACACTGTATATCATACATTACTGACAAAAGTGCACTGCAGTGACTCACCTATCCAATGAAGGATCGTAGCGTCTTCACATCATGTGGTGGAGACATTTTCTGGATTGTCTTAATATTTGCGAGGTCCGGCCTTCGACCGTGTTGCTCAGTGATGAATCCCAAATTTGTTACTGAATCCATGTAGAAAACACACTTTTCTCTCAGACGAAAGCCATAATCTTGGATTCGATGGAAAGCGTTTTCAATCCGGCTCTCTAGATCTGCCGAATCAGTGCCCATGGTAATGAAATCAACCAAATATGCTGCAACACTGGGAACGTCGTATAACATGATGTCGATGATCTGTTGAAAGACACCAGGTGCCATTATTACCCCAAATAGTAGGGAATGTACCGAAACAGACTGCGGTGAGTATTGATGGTCAGCAGCTATATAGAATCCTCAGAAACTTCCACTTAAAGGCATACATCCGACAGGTCCAGTCTGGCGAACTATTTGCCACCATTTATCCTTGCGAACAAATCATCCGGCAGGCAACTGGTATTGGTGACTTTCCAGGGCAATATTCAGACCAGTGGAAAAATCTGCACAAATTCAAATTTTCCCAATCGATTTCTTGGCCACGACAATCGGAGCAGCCCATGAAGAGCAGTTCACAGGTTGGAGGATGTCAGCCTCTTGCAGTCTCTCCAATTCCTGATCAAAGCTTGATAACGCCGCATACGGTACTGGACGTTTGGGCCAGAAGACAGGTTTTGTGTCGGGGCGGAGGGACAATACTGCCCTGGTTTTCCTGCAACAACCAGGTTTATCCAGGAATGCCTGCGCGTGTTTATGGTGCAAACGCTCTGACAGCACATTACTAGGAAGAACGATCACAGACTGTTTACACGCAGAATTAAGTGGGACGTCCAAAAGTCTGAGTTTTTTGATCCAATCAAGATCCTAATAGATTAGATTTGTCCGAGTAGAAAGGTAACACACGGCACAGAATTGCACATTACTGAAAAACTGAACACATATATGTGTTCACTTGTGAATTTCAGGACTCCACCGGCAGCATTCAGCGTTGTGCGATTTCTCGGCTTTAGAGATGGTTGACTGATCATCTTCCATATGCTTTGTGACCATAAAGTAATATCAGCTGCTGGATCGAGCTGAAGACGCACAGGTGTTGTTGGTATGCACAGTCACATACATATGCCGGTGTTTTGCGTTCGTATCGAACGTAACCATAACAGGGCTTATTTTGCACATGGATTTTTGTCCTGCTTTTTAAATTGGCATTACGGAGTCTTTGGAAGTGCTCCATTGTTGGTACGGTAATGATCTTCTTTTGTGACATTTCTGACAGCGGTGCTTTTTGAATGGGGACAGCCACCACACTACCGGTAGGCTGTTGGGGGTTTGTCGAAGGTGCCGCTTCTATTTAAATTAGTGGGCTTTGTTGGGATGTTTTTTGTCACAGCATGCACGTTACTGGAGCCAGGAACTGCTTCTCGTCCAATCGTGGCAGTATGGTGCTTCAGCTTCAACAAACGGTAACACTTTGAAATGACTGATCTCAGCTTCATGGTAGAATCTTGCTCCATCTTACTGAGTAACCGGGTACAAATCTCTGGGTCTCAAGGTCATTGAAGACCACAAACCAAACACTTGTATTGGTCTTCCGTCATTTCTTCAAGCTTGTAACGTTCACGCTGACGGTAGACCGTGGTCGCATAAGACGCAAAATCATCACAATCACTTTTGACAAGTTTCAAACAAGAGTACTACACGTTAAAAATAGTGGATACTTCCCCGAAGATTTCTTTCAACAGTTCAACAATTTCGTCGAATTTAGTATACTTCGCATTATAAGGAAGAATAAAATTCAAAATCCTTTCGTGGTCGTTGGCCCCAAGCATTCGCAGAAACAACCGTGATTTCCAATTGTAATTCGTATCAGCCAAATCTGTTCGGAACGTGTCTTCTTTCCTCCTGAACCAAAACCCTAAAATGCATCCGTCCTCTAGATCATAGCTGAATTCTGTGATGCTTCCTGAAAGCGCATCAACGGATGACTGTTTTTTATCGGTTGAGTATGATTAGACCTTCAATTTCCGCGATAACGTTTCGATAAGGCGCGCCTGTGATTCCTCAAATAATTTCTGCTGCCGGTGCAGGACCAAGGTAAGCTCTTCCATCGAAAGTGGCAGCAAAATCTGTTGTGGCCTACTATGAAACGCGAACGTGCAGACCCCTAAAGCGCAACCGCTCGACTCAAAACCGAAGTCAGAAGACGTCGAAAAGGAAGGCTTGCGCGATGACATAACGGGTTATATGGGATATGATTTCCTAGGTTTATAAACTTCC